CAACTGATGATAATATAGATTTTAAGGCTATTAGAAAAACATAATCTATAATCATGGTTATAGATGCTGAGGGTTCTGTTTTTTTTGAGACTTGGAAGTAGGGGATTCCACTTTGCACCACTTTTTTTTTATAGCATAGCAGTTTCAGCTAATGGTGTTTAGAGCAGTTCCGCATTCATCACTCTCCTCAACTTCTTTCTTAAGTATGTATTCTATTTCAGGTTCTTCAGAGTTTTGGTATACATAATTAACCTTTTTAGTCTGCTTAACTCCAGAACAATTAATTTTTGTATGGCCAGCCTTTCTACAGACTGAGCAAAGACGAACAATTCGTTTAACTGATGCTTTTTGTACTATCTTTCTAACAGCTTTCTTTATAGCATTTGTATTCCTAACTTGTGATTCAAAAAAGGGACTCTTTCTTACATAAGCTGTCATGCCTCCAAATCTCTTTTTAAGATCATCATAGATAATTTTTTGCACAGCTCAAATGTGTGACAGGTTATGCTGATTATATGGCTTAAAGTATGTGACGCAATTTTCAAAAAAAAGCGTCTAAGTCAAATTTTACTGCAAAAACCCAACCCGCCGCCTTAAGTAAACTAGCAGTACGTGCAAAAATACACCTACTTATATAATATTTAAGTCTAAATATAATGTTTATTAAGGTTTGTTTTGAAAGAAAACTATTCATAGAAAATTGTCTGTGGCGCAAGTGCCGATCATCATGTCGATCATTTCCAAAAGGTATTTTTTTCGGCATAACCTGACACACATTTGAGATATTCTAAATTTTTCTAAAGTTGCATTATCTGTAGCTATTCCTGATAAAATTATCTTTTTGTGATTGAGTAGTTAAAGCCTAAGAAGGGGGAGGTGCTTGCTCTGCAATTCGTCCTCTACATTCTAACCAAATTTGTCGTAGATTTGTGAAAAAAGCATCTAAATTAACTGGATTAGCTTGTCTAAGTCTCATTTCCATATATTGTGACATATGTCTATAAAGATAAGGCAATATATCTGCATAAGGAATACTCTACGCATATGTCGTGATTCTTTTCTCATAAGTATCTGCTGTATCCATTATGGAAAATTTTTCATTCATAAGTGATCTTAGTGCATCTTGATTAGTTCCAACCATTACTTCCCGATATTTGCCTTGTAATCAATTTAGGAACTCTGGCTCATTATTGATTGGATTATTACCATTATATGGATTGTTAACAGGAATTGGATGGAATCTACCTGTCATCTTTTCTCTCATTTTATTAGATACTGCAAGGGCATTAAAACCTGCAACAGTCAATGATCAGGCTAATTCGTTAATATTTCTAAGTTTAACATAATATGAATATGGTTCTTCTTGACCATCATAAAATGGAATGGTTGAATAAGCTGGGGTCAAAAGTTTGTTTACATGTACCATAGTCGCCATGTTTGGAAGATTATTTTGTAAATTCAAAATATTTTGCCTCGAATTTAATTCCATAGCCTTCATAGCCTTCCATTTTTGATACTGATTAAATACCCAGGCTCGGTTAAATTCTGCTAAGTCAGCATCAGCTTTGTGTCTTCGTTTTATTAACAGAAGGACTACCTTTTCTTGTAATAATATATGGTTACGCCTTTCTGCTCTCTGAGTCTTAAGCCACCATACCCATTATTCATCTGTTTCATTATTCAGAGCTTGTGTTAATATTTGGTTATCATACATGTACCAACTCTATCAAATTGCCCTCTTATATCATCTGGAAGTATAACCCCTGTATTATCTAAATATATCTGAATTCTTGTTAAAGAAGCTGAAGCCTCAAATCGCCTATCTAAAATAGCTTGTATTGTATGCTTCATATCTAATATTTCTTTATTATTTGAAACTTTTTTCTGACTTAGACTCGTTATCTCATAAATATGGATCTTAAGTTGCTCAATCTTATTTTTTAGCCTCAAAATATGAATATTTTGTGCAGTACTAGCATTACCTTTATGCCTTAAATCCTACAATGCTTTTTGAAGACGTTGTTTAAGTGATTTGATCTCAGTCTTAAGAGATGCTATTTCATCTTCATGAGCTAATATTGCTGAATCTTGGTGAGATAATGTCCTATAACAGGTTTCTAGCTCTCTATTAAATGCTTTGAGTTTTTTATCCTTAAGTTTGTTTTCGGTTATTTCATCTTTTAATTCTTTACGTAACTCTTTATTAGTATCTAAAATTTCGATATAAACTGGCTCTGTGGTATTGATTCTTATTATACAAATAGATTCAAGTGAAGCTCAAAAACTTGACGTATTTATTGCTTTGCGAAAAATTTACTATCAGTCTATTGCAGTGATGTGTGTTTATGCTTCCAATGGTAAAAAATTTGATTAGAAACTTCCAATCCAAATAATTTTATTAATTAATTGTACTTTCAAACCTTCCAAAGATGCTTCTAAAGGTGCTTCCAATCTTCTAAATGCACATCAGGTATCAAAAAAATATTAAAAAATTGCATAAAGCTTCTCAAAAAGCTGGATTCGATTTTATCTTAAATGATATGTATGATTGACTCAAAAGACAGGCTGTATATCAGATATATAAGCCTCATCCTAGATATATTCCTTGAGCAAGTTTTTATTTTATTATTACTTCTAATAAAGTTCACTAGGCAGATATTCTCTACATGACTTATGACAAAGTAGGTCGGGTTACCTATCTTTTTTGTTTTACTGTAATAGATATAGCTTCAAGATATAGAGTATCTATCCCTATTGATGCATATAGTATCAAAGATAAGCAGGGAATCTTAATTTCAGCTACTATTGCTAAAGCTCTTGAAAAAATCTATGATAACCCTAAGTATCTTCTGATCTGGCCAGAAACATTTTTAACAGATAGGAAACCAGAGTTTAAAGGCGAATATGAGAAATTAATGAGAGAATATAGTATAAAAATTCAGAAAGCTAAATCTAAACCTACTATGGGTATTGTTGAAAGATTTAACTGAAACTTTGATTGAGAAATTATTTTCTTCTTAGGATGCATCTGATCTTTTGACTTTACACTTAAATAAGATATCCTGAGTTTAGGTAAAGAATTTGCTTATAATTGTTGAATATATTAATAATTCTATTACATGTCAGCTTGGTATTTCTCCTGTTAATGCAATAGAGAAAGAAGAGGTCTTGGCTAAACCTTCTTATCCTCAGAATGATTCTATAGGCTTTAATAAAGAGAAGCTTTCTGGTGATATTCTTGTTTGATATTTGCTATATCCTAGTGATTTGAAGGGTGAAAAACGTCATGCTTATGATTTGAATTGGTCACCTCATATTTATTATATCTGTCAATCTATGGTACAAAAAATCATCTGATCTTATATCAGCTGAAAGAAGTCCCCGTTAAGTTAATTGATAATGATGATTTTATTCTCAAATGTCCTGAAAGATCTTTTATTTGAGAAGAATTGATGATTATTCCTTATAATACAATGATACAGAATTGCCTTCCCAGTGGGTGCTTACAAATTAAAATAGTCTTCTGCTTCTTCATCTATTTGTTCTTCCTTAACAAAATTATCCTTAGCTAATTCATAATATAATTTGTATAGATCTATATTTGCATTAAGAATTCTGGGATCTCACCCGTAATATTCCTTATAGTCAATTTTTATTTGATTATACTTGTCTTTATTGAAAAAGATATTTTGGGCTAATTTTAATACACGTTCTTCAGAATCTTCTGCCTGACGCAATTTTTTAACCCAATTTTTATAACTTAACATGAATTTTCCATCTTTTGGTTTTATATAGTAGAGTCCTGCTTTGATGACATTTATTAATACCTTTTCGATATCTTGAGAAGTTGGCTTAGTATTAGTTAATTGAATTTGTGTACTCATTGTAAAAGAAAACTTTTGTATAATATTTTTATAAAATTTTCTCTTTAATTAATTATTTCCCTATATATCAAAATGATCAAAGAATATTTCTGTTTATATTTGCATAATACTGATAAAACTTGTGATAAATCCTGCATGTGTGAAAAAGAGTATCATGAGCATTGGAAAACTAAGATACGTGTATCATGTAGTAGGATTTCATAATTCGATTTGATATTTGAATATTTGATTTGATTCAATCAAATTCAAATCAAGTATTCAAATATTTGATTTGATTTAAATCAATAGTAAAGCCATCTCCAAAGCTTCAGGAGTGGTTCTTACTAAGAAACCATAGTAAAAAGTGCCTTCCTGGCTTCGGAAATGCCTTTTTACTAAGAAAACTATAGCAAAAAGTGCCTCCGTGATGAAATGCATTTTTTACTAAGAAAACTATAGTAAAAAATGCCTCCGCAGCTTTGGAAATGCCTTTTTACTAAGAAAACCATAGTAAAAAATGCCTTCGCAACTTCGAAAATACTTTTTTTACTAAGAAAATCATAGTAAAAAACGCTTCCGCAGCTTCGGAAATTTCTTACTAAGAAAACCATAGTAAAAACGCCTCCACAGCTTCAGAAATGCCTTTCTTACTAAGAAAAACATAGTAAAAAATACTTCCATATGTTCGCAGCTTCGGAAATATTTTTTTACTAATAAAATTATTATGAAACCGAGATGGCAATTATTACTAAGTTTCTTAGTAAAACTGAAGCTATGATGATGGTTATTATTAAGTTTTCTTAGTAAAACCGAAATTACAGAGTTATTTTATTAAGTTTAATAGTAAAAATTCACCTGTTACTAAACTTACTTTGTAAAAGCTATTTTTGAAATTTTTTAGTGCAATTACTAATAATTTTCTTAATTAAAACTTTAAAATAACTTTATTTTAATATATTATTGTAAAAATTAAAAAAAATTTATATTTGATTTGATTTGATTTGATTTGATTTAACAAATATTATATCAATTTGATTTAATTCGATCAAATTCAAATCGATTCAAATTAATTCAATCAAATATTTGAGTTTAATTCAATTCGATTCAATTCGATTTGAAAAAATCAAATCAGATTCAAATTGCTTAAATATTTGATTCAATTTGATTTTGAGAAACCCTATCATGTAGTATATGTGATAAGCCTACTGGCTCATCTTCTGATGTCTACTACATATTAAAGGTTATTATGTGATCTAATACTATAACAGATTATGTGATAAGGCCTTAAAAAACTTAGAATAGATAATAACTTTTGGTTAGATTTTTTTTGGATAGACTTGACTAGGCAAATTTTTTTGGTTAGACTTTTGACCTTTGCTATTTGATAATGAATCAGCTTTAAAATTAATTCTATGATAACATGAAACTTAGATATGTTTATTGAACTTGCAAAAACTCATATAGAGCACACTTAAACACTTCAGTCCTTGGTATTCTATACTCATTTCTAGGGCAATTAGAATAGCATATATTTTTTGTTATATAATTTGTGATTAAAAATAGGCCAGAATGTTAACAAAAATGGTATACTCCTTTATTTCGAAAGCTAAAAAATATGGGTAAGAAAATAAGTTAACAGGATTTACACCCAGCTCATTTTAAAACATGAATTTATTATAGATTTTTAATATGTTTTCTAGTCTTGTAAGGTAATTTAGAATACAATATAGATTTTATAAAAATTCGTATACCATTTTGCACTTAGGCAGAGGCTTACTATTTATACAGCTATTATGAAATTTTGTCCTAGAACTCCTATTTTTATCTATATAAAATTGTATTTAGATGATGTAATTCTTTTTAATCACTATTGTAAAAATCTATATTTATTTAAAATTATAAGTAAAACTTTTGAAATATAAGATAATAAGCAAATGCAATTTGAACTTGAATTTTTATTAAATTCAAAAAAATAACAAATAAAATTCAAAACATTTTGTGATAAAAAATCTATTACTTTTATTCTTTTTTTAATATTAAATTTTTAATTTTGCTAATTTTTTTACTAAAATTTTGATTAAGTTTTAATATAATTTACCTTTTTTTGAATAAAGTAAATTTTTAATTCTATTTAGAAATTTTAAATTTAAGTTTAATATATTTAATTAATAATATACTAATTAGGATTAATTAGAAGGTATCAAATGCATTAATATAACTAATAAAAATTAGGAAGATCATGCCTTATTTACTACTAGTTTTAGAAAGCACGCTTTTAAATATAAAGTTTGAGAATAATTCATCACGTCACAATGTGAAAAAGGGTTGAAAGAGGTTAGCGTGTTCATGATTGTATGATAATTGACTAATCACGTGATCGTAAAGCAAACATATGTAAAAAGATGATTATGAATAATTTGATGAAATGGGAAATATATATTTTTTATACATGCATTGACAAATAAATAAATAAATAAATACCATTTGGTCAGAAGTTAAAAGTTAAATTCACAAACGATTTTATTCCATATCTCGAAAATTACATGAAATAAAACAACTCATAACTACCAAATAGGTTTCTATAAGATTAGATTATTTATCGACGAGATTTTTTTTTTTTAGAAAATCCGGTAAATTTTTTTTTGCAACCGGATATTTGACCGGTTTTTATCTATTTGTTTGTCTTCGTCAAAATAAAAGCCTTCTGCTTTTGTTAATTCAAAATTCATTACTTCAAAAAAGTAGGAGCAATGCAGTTTAGTCCAAATTGTCCAAATTGTTTTTGTGGCCTCCCAGCATCGCCAGTTTATTCCGAAGAATTTGGCTTGTTATATGAATGTCATAATTTACACAATAATCCATGGGTTGAAGATCAGCTTTTGAATGGGCGAGACAGTCCTGAAAGCGACCAAGTAAGATTAAAAAGTATCTATACTATTAATAATCATACAATTTATTAATTCTTTTAACATTTCTCAAATCTGTGAATGCAGTCAGATACAAACATAGTTCCTTCCTTATCATCAAGCAGGCAAAAAGATAAAATTTGCGGATATCATATTCACAAAGATACTTGGGATAGTTTTTTTGATAGTGAAAGTTTAGATGCAGAGCATCCAGAATTGGCTATTTGCCCATTTTTTAATTTCACCTTTTGTGCTTTCTTTAATTTAAAAAATACTTATCAGTTAAGCCATCCACCTCCTCCAAAATGTTTTTGTAAACTTCCTGCAACGATGCGATATGTTGACTCTCAGGATTTAAATCGAGAAGAGTTGAAGTTCGTTTGTCGAAATTATCTAATTGACGGAGCGAGACCTAAATGTACATGGATGTTATCGGCAAGTGAAGTGCCATTCCAAAGACCTAACGGATGTACGCATCCTTTGCAAAAGCAAGGTTCAAATAAACTTTTAGAGCCTAGTCAACAAATACAAAGTTGTAATCACTCGATCGTAAAAAGAGATGACTGTAATTATGATACAAGAGGTCGATTTGGAAATAATGGTTACAATAACAACGGCGAAAGATTCAAATCCAAAAAATTTAATAATCATTTTCAACAAGAAATAAGTTTCTTCGGTGATAAATATTCTTCCAATGGAGAGTTTAATAATCATCATTCATCAGAGAGGGATGATCATCACCACCATCGAGGAGAATATCATCGAGCAGAGAGGGATGATCATCACCATCATCGAGGAGAATATAATAATGATCACAGGCCTAAGAATGGTAATTACCAAAATAATACATATCAGGATCAAAAACCTATACTTGATAATGACAGAAATTCAATCGTGTCGAGAAGAGTAAGTAATGGAACAGGATCTTCTTATTCACAGGAAGGATGGGATCCTGGACGTAATTGGAAAGGAAGACAGTATCATAAGAACACTTCATGGGATAATTATAAAGATTTACAAACTTCAAGTGGTTCAGATCATAAAGGTAATTCGAGCGGACAAGTTATAAATAAAAATACGAATTCAGAAAGTAAAAACCGAGAAAAGTCAAATATTCCAAACGGTAGAAAAAGTTCTAATGATGTAGCGCCGCCAATATCTAATGTAATATCAATGAAAGTCCACATGAAGGAAACTTCTTATGTTGCAGCTTCCAATAAAAAAGCTGCCTCAAATTGTAAATGTGCAACAGATGCATCACGTGTTTTATCAGAAAACCAGAGGTTAAAATCCGAAAAACAAAAGTTGATCACTAAACACGAAGATGAAATAGATAATTGGGCTATGAAAGTAGAAGATTTAGAATACGAGGTGAAGCATCTTCTTAGTAGGGTAGGAAATTATAAAAAAGAATACGAATCTGAACAAAATTTAAGACAATCTTGTCAGAGGAAGATAATTGAACTTCAAGCTCAAATCGCGGATGTAACAAAAAAAATCGATGAATTACATATTATAAAGGAGAAGGAAAAAGAAGAATACGCTATGGGAAATATGAAATGTAAAGTATGTTTTGAAGAAACGATCACGCACGCCATTTTACCTTGTTATCACTTTGCGTTGTGTTTTAGGTGTGCTCGGGCAGTTACCAAATGTGTTATTTGTCGAAAACCAAAGGAGAAGATTATTAGAATTTATTTGGGATAACTATAATAATAATATTTGTGGAAAAGGACATGAATTGAGGGAAATATTTAGAAGATCGGATATAAATATTAAAAAATTCCCTACAATAAAGAAAAATCATTAATTAATTAACACATAATTTTCACTTGCATTAGTCTCTCTTTTATAACAATTCACTATTTCCTTAGGAAATCTAATCTTTATTATTTGTATATATAATACGTTAATATAATACAGCTAGCTAATTGGGTTATTTTTAATAGTTAATATCTTTTGCTTGCTTTCAAATGAACAATATTCCTTTGTATTATTATTTATTATACTCAAATAATATAATCAATAAATATAAAAAAAGTAATTTGCAGAAAAAGTAAAATAAAATTCTTATTATACTAACTAACATACTCTCGAAATAATGATCATATTTCTTACATCTATATAATTTCCTATCTCTTTCTAACTAACCTGTATGGTTATAAATAACTTTACCTTTCCTTCGTTCTTTCTCAATTTTATCCAGCATTAATTTTCTTTGTATTAGACCATCTTTAGCTGCTACACTAAGTACGCCTACCAATAATTCAATCCCTCTAACGGAATCATCATTGGCAGGTATAGGCCAAGTAACTTTATTAGGGTCAAAATCCGTATCAATTATCCCAATAGTAGGAATATTACCCTGCTTTGCTTCCTCAAGTACAATTTCATTTTCGGAAGGATTTAACAAAACAATTAAATCCGGTTTAAATACTTTTGAAATAACATCTTGTTCCTTTTTTGGTATTAAAGTACCTAAAATTTGTTGAGAATTGGTTATAGTACCAGGTAACCAACGAGTTGTCAATTGATATTGATTACAACGTCTAGCTGCTGTTATAACACAGTTAGAAAATCCTCCTCCTCTCGTGTTAATAAATAATATTATACCGTCATTATATGAGATTTCTTTTATTGCTTTACATGCTCTACGCAAATAGATCAATGTATAATCTAAATTTATTATATTTATACCATGTCTTATTCCAAAAATAAATGGCGATGTTTTTGGATTCCAAAGTGATGTTGAATGTCCTAAATGTAAATTTGCCGTCAAAAGAGATGAAAGCGTTAAATCATATGGTGAAGGTGGTGATTCTAAATTTATTGTTGCTGAATTAAAGATTTTTTTGAATGATCCTGTTTGCTTAACAAATTCTGGAACTAATAATAGATTTTTTTTAAAAAAAAAATTATTATTACATTAATCAAAAAACAACAAAAAAATTAATTATATTGAATACCATCATCATTTTTGAGTCTGAATTTTGCAGGATTGATAGGGTTATCATCAATAGCTTTGTAAAATCTAGACGATAACTCCCGTTTAAAATCTATAATTTCTCGCTGTTGTTGTTCCTGTTTAGAATATGAATTTTTATTATTAAGTAGTGAAGTTATTGTCCTTGATGATACTATAATATTATAATCAATTAGTTGAGTTTATTATTTTACTATGCAAATATTCTATTAAATATGATCATGCTTACAATTTAACTTGCCATTAAAAGAAACAATATTTTTTCGGAGTAGTTTAATTAAATGATACATCATTAATTAAAAAAATTATCAAAAAATGTGAAAATTTATTGTCCGAAAATCTTTACCTAAAGAATACAAAAAAAAAAAAGGAATTGTGTTAAATAAATTCGCCCCCACCTGGATTCGAACCAGGATCCTTTCGGTTAACAGCCGAACGCGCTAGCCGGTTGCGCCATGGAGGCTTTATTTGCTAACAAACTTTTTATTTATTATAATTTGTATGAATTATATTTATTATCGTCACTCGAATCGATTGCAAAATTATTTGCCGGTATCATGTATTTATATTAAATTTGTAACCATCCTAATTTAGTATTATTAAACATGAAATAAATACTATCATTTAATTGCAAATTTTATTCAATTATTTATTTATTTTATTATGTTAAAATAATTATTTTTATTTATAATTATATATAATCAAATCAAATATAAAAATATAATTAATAATATTATTATTCTTAATAATAAATAAAAATTAATATATAAAAAATTAATAGACAATTATAATTAATTGTATTTAATTAATAAAAGTAAAAATATTCAAAATTCAAATATAAAAGAAAAAGGAATAATAAACAATGTTTTATTTATATTATGATATAAGAAATTATCTTAAAATAAAATTTAAGTATATCTATTATCTAATAATTTATAAAGAATAATTCTAATTTTTTTTATTAATTAGATATCTAATTAATGATAGAGAATAATGTTTACTCTTCTATTCTAATGAATTTGAATTCTTTAAATAAAATTTTCTATAATTTTTTATAAATTTATTTATTTATTTTATAATATACATATTTAATATATAATATAAAAAAAAATTTATTTAAGCTAATAATTATAATAATTATAAATTATACAAAAAAAATTATAATATCATAATGAATCTTAATTTAAATCAATTAGATATAAAAAATGTTGTTATTATAAATAAACTATAGTAATTATTAGAAAAATATTACAATTCAAATTTTTACTATTTAGTTGAATTTATTTTTACATATATTTATAAATTTATTATTATAAAATATAAAAGAAAATATTAAAGTTATATATAATAAATCTTTATTATAAAAAATCTGTAAAAATTTTTAATAATCTTCAAAATAATTTGTTAATTTTTTTTTTTATGAAATTATATTTAATAATATATATTAATATATTTATTAAATTTATAATATTATAAAAAAAATTATATATTTTATATTATTTATAAGTTATTATTATATAATATACACTTATATTTATTTGAGTATAATTAAGCTTTTTGATATCAAGAATAATATTATATCATATAGTCTTTCTAATTAATTTAAATTATTCTAATATATCTAAAAAAAAATTTACATTATACTACTTATTTTAAAAAAGCATTGAAAATATAAAGAATACAAAGTATCTGAAATATTTAAAATATAACTCTACATATATAACAATTATATATGATATTTCAAAAAATTACAAAGGTTTATTTCTAAATATATATTATTAACATAAAAATTTTATTCCTATCTCTCACATAACAATAATTTACTTTCTTTTATTAATCAAATCTAAATTTTCTGTTTTTTAATTAAAAACTTTGATTGATATTATACATAATGCAAAATAGACAACTTTTATAACATTTTTAACTTTAAGGAATTTCACATTTTATAGGTATCTTAAAAAGTTTGACTTCTTGACAATGTATGTTTTTAACTTATTTACAATTCCTTTATAAAATAATAGAAAAATTATGATAAATAAACTAAAATATATAGTATAGTATAGAATAGTATAAGATATCACATCAAATCATAAAGAATAGCTAGAGTCTTAATTTTTACATCAATAAAGAATTAACTTATTTATCATAATTTATACTACTATTTTTAATGATATGAATTAACTAATATTAAATAAAATAAATATATAAAATATAAGAGAAATAATAAATATTTCAGTAATAATTAATATAAGAAGTATAATTGATATATAAAATATATTAAAAATCAAACTTATTAGGTTTATTAAAAATATAAAAAATATATTAAAAATTAGACAAATTAGAAATTATGCAGATCTTCTAATTTTATAACCAACTTAAAATTAATTTTAAAAACTTCTGAAAATCATTTAATAATTCTTTGTAGATCAATTTTCTAATAATAAATTTTTAACCAATAATAATATCAACTAAATCTTACCTTATAGAGATAAGATTTAGTTAATATCAAATAAGAACTAGCACTCCTTGCTCAGTGGTTAAGCCGCGAGCCCCTATTAAGCTATAAGCTTTATTTATTGCAAAGTAATAGGCCATAGTTCAGGTATCATGCGATACATAAAACTATATGATTTTCCATAAGGAATTTCTTTGTAACTGAACAAGTGGTCGTATATACTAATATGCGTTAGATTCTGGTTGATTGATCCATCGATCAACGTTGATCATGCCTAAATACTGCACAGCGTTAGAACATGGGAAAGCAAATAAAGCCAGGGATCAACAGAAACTTGGCCTTCGCTGATTGGTCTGTAATGGATGCAGTCTCCCTTCTCACACGGCAGGGGCCCTTATTTCTGTATGTGGCTGTTTCATAAGAAATGATAACATGTATCAATTAAGGAAGTGATTGACCAGAACTTAGTATATTAGATCAATGGTGATAATAAACTGCATTGCACGCCGCAGCATCGTCTAATTGAGCATATCATTGGGTCTGAGGTTAGGTTTGATTCCTAAGATGTTTGTCAATATGGCCTGATCATCACCTTTCTAGTTAACCATCTGGGTAAATCTTGTGGTAATAATCCCATAAACCCTGCGGCATTAGTCGGGTAAGAGTATATCCTAGCAAGATATATGGTGTAATGGATCCCTCAGAAAAATTTCTATAGTAATATGTGGTCCTGGATAGCTGGTAACCGGCAAGGAGGGTCAAATCTTCCTAATGGGCTCAAGCCAGCAACAGTCCATATGGACGATGGCAATATCTGGGTCAGTTATAACGGTGTAGGTTGCCAATGGCAATGACCGGTAGAGACCTAGGGGTGAGGCCGACAATCTGGGTACTTGGGACCCTCGTCATAACGTCTCATCTGCACACTATGTACTAAAAAAAAAAAAATAAAATAAAAGAGGATTAGCCCTCCTTGCTTAGTAGTATAAGCTGTGAGCCCTATAAGCTAAAGTTTCATTACACAGTGATAGGCCATGGTTCAGGTATCGTTCGATACATAAAACTATATGATTTTCCATAAGGAATTTCTTTGTAACTGAACAAGTAGGCGTATATACTAATATGCATTAGATTCTGGTTGATCGATCCATCGATCAACATTGATCATACCTAAATACTGCATAGCGTAAGAACAAGTAGATGCAAATGAAGCCAAGGATTGAAAGAAACTTGGTTGTCGCTGATTGGTCTGTAATGGATACAGTCTTACGTCTCACCCGGCAGGACCCTTATTTCCGTACGTGATTGTTTCATAACAAATGATTACATGTATAAATTAAGGAAGTGATTGACCAGAAATTAGTAGATTACA